ATCCTGAACAACAACAGGGTGCTGCTGCTGTCCTCATTTTACAGACACATTTTTGAGGCACGGAGAGGTCTGGCACCATGCTCAAACACACATACCGGGAGGCAGCAGGGCTGGGGTTCAGTTTCAGACAGATTTCCAATTTTGTGAGTATTGCTGTTACGTTTCTTCAAGTAGGATTTTCATAGAAGGTGTTTGGCAGCATATGGAGGCCCAGACAGCGAGGCTCACATGCTTCCACCCCTACATTCCTGGGCAAAAGCACTCGGGACTCACATAACAAATAACAATGCCAGCGTAACAGTCTGTGCTTTGTCCAAACCTCTGTGACACACAAGATTCGAAAGAAAGAAAAACCATCCACACAAATTGTCCTTGGGCTTTTCAGTCCTAAATTAAAACTATTAGAACTGATGCAGGAAAGTAAGTCATTGGAAGAGGCAGGCATGTTTCTGAAGTTGCCTTTTAAGTAGAGTTTAAGCGCCTATAAGTGGCGTTGGCAGCTTCATTTTCCTTAACAACTCAAATGCTTTCCAACTGTCCTCAATAGCAGTGAAATAGAAAGAGCACTTTTGGCCAGACTTATGCAGGAGTTAACATTTCAGTAGAAAAGACATCATTTACACGGCTTCTGAAATGAACAATCTGCTAACCTTGAGACAAATGCAAACAGGTCTAGCTAGGCCTACCTGCTCCAGCAAAGGCGTGAACTGGACAACGGCCAACTCGATTATCCACATTCTCACAGCACTGGAAATTACAGGCTGATGGGGCAAAGCCGGCCTCGAAAAGCCATGAAGTAGGTTGCTGCTGCTTCTTTTCCGTGCAGAGCGATATTTCCCATGTTGAAGTAAACATAAGTGCCTCCTCCTAACTTAGTGGTACCAGAGACAAAGTAGAGGCGATGACAGGCCTTATATAGGCCTAATGATTTGATAAAGAAAGAAGTAACATTTTACACATTAGAGTCTATAAAACAATATGGTTATGTAGTTACTTAAGTCTTAATGTCTTTATTAGACATAATTATTTAATCCAGTGGCAAGCACATTAATATATGAGCTATACATTTTCTTCAGCACTATCAGAACTCAAGCAGAGTTAATTATTTGAGCAGTTCCAAACTTTTAAGACATTACACCTTTATAAAGGATAATACTTTCACCTAATTATAAGTGAATTATTCACATATTCTAATGTAGTTAAATTTATTGGATGGACATTGAGGTGAGAAGAAAGTTATGAGCATTTGTATGGGGAGTTTTGTCTTTCTGTACATAAATGTATTCTAAGTATACCAAAAGGTAAGTATGCTAAATGCCTCTACATGAATAGCACCTCTTCTCTTCCTACCAATAAATCAAGTCATGAGAGAACCCTGAGCACCTAGTAGTCATCCTTTGTACGGAGAAGCAGGCATAATTTCATGGATCCTTACAGAATAAACTGTTTGCAGGCCAAAAGTCAAAATAAACATCCATGGCCAGGGAACTCAATTCCTGGTGGACTCAGGTTCCACAGAGCATCCGAATCCTGCCCCTCCCCCCCAGTTCCTGGGAGTTACTCTTTATGGAAACGTGGGCAGCTTTTTTCATGCATGACTGTGCCCAGCCCAGTCCTGTGGGAGGTGTGGAGGAAGACAGGAATTTGGCTGGGGGAATTGAAACATTAAACACACGCGCACACATGCGCACACACACACACACACACACCCCAAATAACAACATTTAAAAAAACCCAACAACCTGATCTTGTGATTTAGCTATGGAACAAGAAGAACTGGCTTTGTAAACCAGGGCTTAGGAACTTTCCAGTACCCCATGGGCCTACTCCCAGTGCAAGATCAGCACTGAAAACAAGGTTACTTCTCATTCCGAAGCTCACTTCAGGAGTCCCGATATTCATATTTAGATCTGGGGCTTTTATCTCAGCTGACATATTTAAATGTGCAAGCAGGGAGGTTTCCCACTCCCCTGGAGCAAAGGCCATACTGCATCAATCCAAACCCTGTCACTTACAAATGGAACAGTCCCACCTTCCACTAAGGTAACCCACTTTCCAAACAAGTCACTAACTTGTTGACTTACTCCAAGGACCAAGACCAGACCAAACATATTCAAAAATTGATCTTTTAACCTTGTGCCTCCATCTTTAAAACTTGAAAACTTTTCCATGCAGATAGAAGTGTGGAAGGGAAAAAAATATGTTCCACTTTTCAGAAAGAAATATAATGTAATTCATGTGAATAATCATGTTATCTTCCAGTAGCTGTGTATTAAAACTGTAATAAGAAACACGTGGAGTTTTAAAAATACATTTAAATTAACCCAGTACAAAAATGGTATCAGCTGAATAAGTATGTGCATGCATGTGTTTCTGAATTCTAGTTGCTGTCACTGTAGTTTGTAAGTGTTCACACCTGTCTTTCACTACTACAGGACTTTCATAGCTATTGACACGCTCATTTGCACCACACATAAATATTAACACAATCACATTTACTGTACTGTGAAGCAACCCACCCCAGGAAGGACAACTTTAGGCTATGAGATTCTGAAGACAGGACTAACAAATGACATCATTCTGTATTTCACTGCCACATCTGCCACTTCAGTAGGTAGCAAATTTGGTGCAAAATACTACTCCCTCCCAATCAGATCTGTGTTGTTTGAACTAGGCACCTAGAAGCTGGAGGCGTGCATGGGGGGGTGTTCCCCAGAGGAAAGGATTCTTCAACCTGGCTCCAACTTCTCCATTCTGCTTCAGCCGTACGAAGCCTTTAGTAGACATTAGATTAGACAGTTCCTTCGTTTTGAGGAAAAGAGATGCACAGTTAAAATTAATTTGCAGTTCAATAGGCAGCTTGGGAGTACACGGCGTGCCCAGTCCTACACCAGGACTGCTGCCTTATGAACGGGGGCATTAGGAAAAGCTGTCGCGTCCGGAAAGCTAGTTCCTTACTTTGGTGGTGAGGGCAACGCATTACGCTGCCCTGAATGTGGAGGAGAAAGCTCTGCACAGGCTGCACTGCTGAGCTTCCTGTTGGGCCGGCCAAAGCCCGACAATCTAATATTCTGCTGAATTTAACGAAAATTAAAGGCAGAGTTGTTTGGAAGTAGCTTTGACTTCACTCTATTTTGATTTCCAAAAGTTGGGCAATGATCATATTCTGTGACACTTCCAGAGCCAATAATTACAACTCAATCATTCATAACAGAAAATTATAGGTAATGTCTAATTGGCACAGTGGTTTATTTTGAAGGTCGGCTTTCTTGTAGAATTGCAAATATTTGGCAGCTTAGTAAAAATTAACTGCAAAGTAGTAGACCTGATTTATCAGAGACAAAATACTGGTAAGATAGTACACAAACATTGTTTTTACACATGAACACAGTTTTAAGAAACCTTTCATCTTAGTGCTTTCTGCCATTTGAACAGTTACCTCAGAATGGGTAGTTTGTAAAGTGCGCGATCCTTAGTGCTCCAGGCTGGGAAGTCCAAGTCACACCAGGGAGCAGGGCCAGGGCTGACTTCGGTCTCTTCCTCTGTTAACAAAGCCACAGGCCACCCCCAGGACCCTCACCCTCATGACACCTACCAATCCCAACTAATCAACACTATTGGTGTACAAATCTGGGCACTGATTTGGTTTCCAAAACGTGGGTCTTGCGGTAAACACAGCAGACCACAGCAGCACGCAAGGAGACCGCAGGCACGGGGAGCCCTTCAGTGCCTAGCTTTGGAGGGTGCCACCCCCACCTCAAGGACATCTTCTGAGGGTACTGCTACCCCATCAGGAAGAAATGGCAACTGCATTTCTAAAAGTGGCTAAGATAGTTCTTGCTGAGATTGGTCTTCTACGAAAGCTTCCCTCCACACGGGTCTCATTCTTTTTTTTTTTTTTAATTTTTATTTATGTGTGTGTGTGAGTGTGTGTGTGTGTGGCCAGCTCAGCCCACCAGGGGGCGGGGCTGGCTGGCATGTGGTGCTGGCGGATTGAACCGCGGTCCCTGTGCTTTGCTAAGCTTGTTCTAATTAGGTGCTTTAGACCACTGAGCCATCTCACCAGCCCCGACACACGGGTCTCATTCTTAATCTAGCAGTGTCTGCAGAGCCACCTTTTTGAGGTGACTGTGTTTCCATCCACGGGTGGAGGCCCAGACAGTAGGCAGTAGTGTCAGGATGGAGGTGGACGTGCTCGGCTGCGTCCAGGGCCCTCAGCAAGGCGCATGGCGCCCTACGCAGCCCCAGCTCAAGCCTCGGCCTCTCTGGACACCAGCCATTCCCCATGTACGCATGTCCAGGTGTCTCCAGCCTGGATGGCACATGTTGTGCAACTTGTGATGTAATGTAATGTAAAAAAAAAAAAAAAAGAAATCCAAGGGAATAAAGGCAATCACAACAAACACAAAAGCAAGCCATTATTGATTACAGAAAAAATGCCTGGGAACCAGGCCAGTGGAGTTGTGAAATTTAAAGTTCTTGCTAGAAATGCATTTTAGCTGCTAAGAGGATTTCAAAAGCAAGTAGAAAAGAAAATTTCTCCATCGAATTTCCAAACAAAACCTCTGCCATGGTTCTGGCTATAGTAAGTAACAGAAGTACCCTGAAGCCGGAATAGTCTTCTCATCTTGTTCTCACCATCAGCATCAGAGCTCAGAAGCTTTAACTCTAAGGATGAACGCAACTGTTTCACTTGAGGCCCCCCATCCTGTCCACAGCACGAGCTGACATGGCAGAGTGCAGCGGGCGGCTCCAGGAGAATGGGGCAGAAAGGGGTAGTTTGGAGCACACAGTGGAGCAGGGCACAGACCCTCAGAAAGGGCTATAGAGCTAGCAGGTCCAAAGCGCAGCTCATCTTCACATGAGAAAACGTGAGGCCCAGGCAACTCGAGCTCCCGAGATACGTGAAATGTGAGATGTGCTTCCCGTGAAAGGGTACATGGAGACCAACGCGTGGCTGCTCACGCAGCAAGGTGAAATGGGTGAAGCCGACAGCTTGGTAAAATTTTAAAAATTTAAATTTATTAGGATTCATTAGTAACACAATTACACAGAAGAAGTTCAGGAATTCACCAATGATGGCCACCAATGTGTGCTTCTTTGTGGCTTTTTCCACCTTATTTCTCATTCACATGTATTCATATCATAGTTAAATTTCACACAGAGCTCACGACGCAGTCCGGGCAGATCTCCCACCAGCAAAATGAATGAATGTAGATCTCTCATGAAAGGCACATAAAGAATCTAACTAACACAGCTAAATAATCTGGTAACTCGGAATTTCTTCACTTTGCAAAAAAGACAAGAAAAAAGAAAAAAGCCCCCAAACGAACAGCTGTGAAGGTAGTTTATGGCTACCCACACGCACGGACACACGGACACCAGACAAACGCACACAGGATTTTGGGAACTACTTAGCACGGAAGCTTACTATAAGACTCAGATTTTCAGAAGAAGTAAGAAAAGGGAAACAAGGTGGGGAATACTGATCATTTTGTTAAAACAAGGTCAAAGAGACGTGGTGAATAAGCAAAAGACAAATGAAGCCATCGAAGCGGAGTAGCTGATATATAACACTTATTTGCACAAACAAACACTCACTGACTTTGTTAAGTACTATTACTCATGTTCTATATGTAGCTGTCCACTTAACTCTCAAAAACAACAGAATAATTTAAAAAGAAAATATGAATTCAAGCAAAGGCAAGGAGAATTGAATATCTAAGGGAAACAAATTTAACATAATTAAATTCCAAACTGGCTACATAGATGAATTCAACGCTTGCGTAACACCAGCAAGAGAGAACCAAAGAGCTTTCGTGGTATCCTCCAAACAAGGCGCCCTCACATATACTAAGTACAAGGGATTTCCCAAAGGAAATACACAAATGAATGTCTCAAAATTCATTATGCTAAAATTTTTGTACCCACAAAAATCCTTCCAACATCTACCCAAACATAGTTACAAATAAAAATGTAGTTGTTTAAATTGTATAAAAGTAATCTGGCATCACCTTTAAGGCAATGCACAATACTGTATATTAAAATTCAAAAGTGAAAACAAACCAAATACAAATTAAATATTTGTAAGATTGTACCGTTTCAAAAATCTCAAATTTTAGTTTTTCAAAGCAAATCTAATGTAGAATCAGAGCAGCATGCACTCTTTAAAGAAAAATTAAAATGCATATAATTTTAAAATTATTGATCCCAAGGCAAGTATATTCATCCTCTCTAAGAGCATTTCAATAAAACACTAAATTTAAAGAACAAATCATGGTATTAAAATAGTCTGTGCAATGTTTGTACAAATAACATTTTTATGAATATAAGTCTACATATAATCCAAGGGAAGGGCTGTGACATTTCCTAATGTGAATTACCTAATACTTTACAGGACACAAATTTAAATAAAGCTTTTAAGACTGGCAAACACATCATAGTCTGTCATTCGGTACAGGGTACTTAACAGGTATACTATCTCCAAAGCCATTGCCCCAGAGCTGTAAGTGGCACTCATAAAACCGAAAAGTCACGTGGAAAGTTAGTCATAGACGCGCTGTCCACACAGCTGCATATTTACACATACAGAGACATGACCCACACCCTAGAGTCCAGCCTCAACACGACCCCCTTCCCTTTCTCGCAGCAGGACACCCCCTTGGCATCTAAGAAAGGTCCTCCTGCGACCCTTAGCTAAAGACACAGGACAGAAGGACTTTGGTCGGGTCCCAGTGCGTGTGCCACATGCTACGTTCTGTGTCACTGCCACACTCCAGCCTAGAGAGACCCACAGGAAGAACCCATTTGGCTTGAAAAACGCACTGTACCATGAACTGCAAAACTTAGAAGAGACCACAGTCTTTTAGGTTGTTTTTTATGATGACATCGGTCACAGCGTCAAACACGAACTGCACGTTCTTGGTGTCAGTAGCACAGGTGAAGTGGGTGTATATTTCCTTTGTGTCTTTTCTCTTATTGAGGTCCTCAAACTGACACTGAATATATGCAGCTGCCTCTTCGTATGTGTTGGATCCTGAGGAGGGAAAAGAGAGAAAATGTAAGCTGAGGAGTTTAAGCACATATGCTGCTAAGCAAAACAGACCTTCAAATACTGAAGGCAGCTTTGTGCAGGTAAAACATATGGGGCCCCTCACTGGATTTCCGAGAGGGTGAAGGAAGTGATTTCCTCTGCGTGAATTTACGCAGTGACAATCACCTCTGAAAGGTCACACTTTATCTTAAAACTGAAACACTTCTTTGTACAACTTTCCACATTTGCCTGCTCTGGATTCCTCCCGAAATCTCCACGAGACACCCTCTTTGCCTCTGCCCCACCCTCCACGCGCCAGGCCGCAATTCCCCAGCCCCCTGTGGTGGGCCGAGAGCGTTGGATGCATGCGGGTCTGTGGTTTTCATCCCCCTTCTTGTGCACACGTTGATGACCATTTCCCACTCCTTTGTCTTGGTCCAAAGCTGCCCAGGGTGCGCATACCACATCCCTGCTTTCCTGCTCACTAGCGACTGCCTCCAAACGCACGTGGTTCTCTGAGGACAAGGCACAGACTTCCCCTGCACCCAGTGTTGGAGCACGCCTGAGAGAATGATCGGTGCAAACCCCAAAATGCCAGCGGGCAGCTGCTCACCAAGGAGAAAGCCTGCAGCTGCACACAGTAACTTGGGCGTGGCTTGTGCACTCTCTCCTGACAAAAAGAAACCAAGCTCAAAAAACCCACAGGTGACCCACACGATGTTTGAACTAGAATCCAGGGGAACTCATGAGGACCAAAGGTAAGCTACGGATCACTCTGCACATGTCTGGGGCAGGGGTCTGCGTGCTTAGTTGAGATTGAGAGTGTGCGTTAAACGCAAGGCCTTTGCCCTGAGCTATATCTCCAGCCCCTTAAAACTAAATAATTGATTCTGATAACACAGTCTTAGTAAGTTGCCTGGCTTGACTCACAATTTGTCACCCCCTGCCTCAGCCTCCCAGAGTGCTGAGCAGACAAAGGTGTGCCAGCTCCAACCAGCAAAAAGGCTTGGCCTCTGGGCTCAAGGGTTGGGGCATGTCTGTACTTTTCACTGTCACACGTTCAGTGAGTCACACTTCAGCTGACTTTGTGCAGGTACAGGTGAACCCACACATGATGGTGTGACAGACATTAATTCATGGAATGACGAAATACTTGGGCTCAACGTTCACTTGCAGCCCGTGCAGCAGCGTCTCTTGTAGCAGTCACCCAGAGCTGCCGGTCCGGCTTTCCGGGTCCTGTGCTAGCCAGCGTGCTGGGGCTGGTCCGCTCCAGCTTGGTTCACTCTGTGCCCAGGCCGTGCAGGCCACCTGCCCTGCTCCTCTGACCCTCAAAGGGTTGCAGGAGGCGCTCAGAACTGCCTCCTGCAGAGCTCCTCCCGCTGTGTACCAGACCCCGAGGCTCGCTCTCTCCTACAGACTCCTCAGACGCAGCTCTCTCCAAGTGCTGTGCTTCCTCGCACAGCTTCCCAGAGCCCAGCTGTCCTGGGCAGGTGCCAGGTCCCCACCAGTGAGCTCAGAAGGCAGCAGCTGTCCCAAACCCCTACACTCCTCCTTGAGGTACACAGCACCCCAGGCAATGCACATGGGAAAGGGTCCTGTGTGCGTCCTGAAGCACAGTGGTGGCCTGAATAGTGGGAACTCTCGGAAGGGACAAAAAGGGATGCAAGAGCCACTGGCCTTGAGTAAGTGTCCACTCACTCTTGGGTTGCTGCAAACCACGTTGTATACCATTAAAGCCTACCAGGCTTGGTGCTCCACAATGCTGAAGCAACGGACAGTGTCTGCTTGGCCCAAGGAAGCGAGCACAGCCCTAAATGAGAACTACACTTGAGGCCTCAGCTCCCGCAGGGTGCACAGCCCAGACTTTGCTCCTTTTGGACAGTTAAACGACTGGACCAAGCCCACAGAGACATGAGGAGCTTCAGGGGCCCATTCCTGGGACACACTTGCAGCAAAGTGTGTGTGTGTGTGTGTGTGTGTGTGTGTGTGTGTGTGTGTGTGAGATGGAACTGTCCTGAACAAAGTTAAGTATAAAGGAAGCTAGAGAATTGGGAGGATGATTTTATAATCACAAGGAAAAGAGAAGAGATTTGGGGAATAAAATAATGGGTTTGTGTGAGTCTCAGGTGCTGAAGGCATACACGTTCTAGCAGCAGTAAGTAATGTGACAATGAGGCTTCAGGGAGAAACCTGGGCTAAGCAAAGGGTTAACACAGTGAGACAGCAGTGACAGAAGGGCAGAGTGTGGGGCTGCGGGGGAGGTGAGGGCCATGAGACCAGCAGGAGTGGTGGCAGACAGGCAGGCAGGCAGGCAGAAGGTCGCAAGCAGTCCAGGAGGTCTGCGTGTGGTTCCTGGGGCGTGGGGGTGACAGCCCAGGGAGCTGGAGCTGAGGCTGAAGCAGGGAGCACGGAATCAACAGCGATGAAGCACACGAGTGTGGGTTTTATAATCTTAACACCAGGGCCAAGGAAGAATGGTGCGATTCTCTTCCTCTGCAAAGATTTTGGAGTACGTCATACACTGGCAAGGGAAGGGCTACGAAGCCCATGCCCGACACACTGCAGTCCCGGGTTCAACGGCGATGGATTCCTCTGGAGCAGCCAGGGTTACGAACTGGCGCACAATACACGCCACGCCATCAGCACTGGGGAAGCAGAGCCAACTCGAGGCCAGAGTGCGTGAATTCAGAAACTGGATTACAAATGGCTTCATTCCCCAGAAATGCTTCAGAGCAAGAAGACTAGGGGTTCCGTGACGTTAGAAAAGCAAGCAAGAAGTTTTACATGTGCCAGTTTGAAAGTGCTGGACTGGTGTGGCTCATGACACACAGCAGAGCCGGTCGCAGAGTACAGTGGCTTCACTTCTGGCCCCAACGAGGACGCCGTTCAGCAGAGCGTGGTCAGCCATCAGGGCTTGCAGAGAGACGACATGTGAACTCGGGGCCTCCTCAGGCTGCAGTGTTCCCACCTCACAGGGCTTTGCCATTGGGCCCAGGACAGGGCGGCCACCAAGCATGGCAGAGCTAACTCAGTGCAGGGTTGCCTAATGCTTACAATGCAATGGACTCCTGATACTTTTTTCAATTGTAAACAGAAGGATGGGGTAAGGCTGAAGACTTAATAACTGAAGACTTCCAAATACTTGGATTTAAGTACCATATAAAGCAGTGGTTATCATACCACTCCCTCATGTGGAATGCAGTTCCCAGTGCTAAATGGGAGCTAGAGAATCCAATGTAAAATGGAATGTAGTAAAATCCAATGTGGGAAACGTAAAAGTGAGGCGCTCCACTTTAAAGAAGAAAGAGCAAGATGAGAGTCAGGTGTGTGAGCGTGCGTGTGTGCATGCGTGTGTGCGCGTGGGTAAAATAAGAGCCCGGTCTCCAACAGTCATCATGATGCAGCCCATAATTTAGCCCAAGTCTTGATTTCATTGATAGGGCTCTGAGGTCTAGATAGATTAGTGGACTTATTCAACATCAAAGGAATTTTGAAAAAGCCAGGACTGTTCTGCAAGCCTATTTTCCTTATTCCAGGGCATTTTCTGTAGCTGAAGAATCAAAGCACGGTGACCTGTCTTAACATTAAAGTCAGCTTTCCCAGGAAGCCCCCCGCCCTCCTCTGGCCCCTTCTCCCTCTTCTTCCAGCCTGGTTGCTCCTTGCTAGTAGCCCATTCCCTGCCACCGTTTGCTTCCTGTGTCCCTTGAGGTCTGTCCCGGAAACTGCACAGCGAGCAGTGAGGCTTGGTGCTGCAGACCCCAGGACACCAGGCCTGGGACACTGGCTGAGGCATGAACCACATTCAATGGCAGGAAGACCGGAGCCATCCCTGAAACGACCCCCAGCTTTTCCATAGAATGAACACATTATTTTCCATAAACACATCCCCACCGAACAAATGACCTGTGGTCAAAAAAAAGGTTGATGAAATCTCCTACAGACATTAAGAATGATGAAGCCAAGAAAGTCAGAAAAACAACTGGCTTCTTGCTTGAAGGGAAGTTGCACTTAGAAATATGCAGCTGGGTAAGTTATTCAAAACAAGTCCAATACCTGCATATTCTGGATAGCATATTGTGAGAGGGCTTTTCTTGATCTTTTCTTCAAAGAGATCCTTCTTGTTTAGAAAAAGTATAATGGACGTATCCGTGAACCACTTGTTGTTACAGATGCTGTCGAACAACTTCATGCTTTCATGCATTCGATTCTGCAAGGGAAGACAACATTAGACTTTCACTGGTGGCCAGGAGAATGTGGGAATATTTGAAACACAAGAAGAAAACAGAGATTAGTCAGTTGACAAACAGATACCATTCCCCAAAGGCAAAGTCCTGTCAGTGCAGACAAGTGCAGCCCCGACTTTAGGTGAGAGGAGGGTCTCGTCATACATGGCCATCTGCATTCAGAGTGTCCCCTACCTGTCACCTGCCATACCTGGGGCCGTCAACTACAGGGAGTTACAGGAGAGATGATCAAGGGCAGAGATTTGAAAAGAAAGGTCACTGTCATGGAGGGCAGTTGGTTTTCATCAAGAGATGTGGAGGTTGAAAGGAGTAAGGAATGAAACGGCACAGGCTAGAATCCACTTAGCCCAAGGCTGGCTGTACTAGTGATGACTTTCTTTGGTTCCCTGCCCTCTGGGGCTGTGTTCCTAACAGGCAGGGAGCTCTTCCATCACCCGGACTGAGGGGAACACATGCGTGATCTCCTCCCGCACACATGGCCACATAAACGTACACACCTCATTTTAAAAAAAGAACAACACCAACATCTCGACTATGTTGTATTAACGTTAACTTAAAACAAGAGCTTTTTTTTTTTATGGCGGAACCGGGGATTGAACTCAAGCCCTTGTGCTTGCTAGGCAAGCGCTTATTCTACTGAGCCATCTCCCCGGCCCCACAACAAGAGCTTTAAATTTCTATTTAAAAATATTTTTCCCAGGAAATAATTCATGGTACAGGAAACCCAGAGGCAGCGTCTGCCGCGCGCAGGCGCACACCTTGCAGCGAGAGCAAGCGCAGCCCGGGAGCCCTGCAGCTGCAGAGCGCACTTGCCCACGTTCGGCACGTAAACAGACGCCTCTCCAACTTTCCCTTCCCCAGGAGATGGCCCTGTGTCTCCCTGGTCCACTTCCCTTCTGTTATGCAAAGAGGAAGGCCCAAGGAAAGTCTGGACTTTCAATAATTCAGGCAGAAGCAAGAATTTCTCAAGACTTTCTCGGAAAAGCTCCAGCAGCGGCTGCAGCTCCCGTGCCTCGGCCCCACCCTCGCACGCAGTCCACTTGCCATCTCTTCGTCCTCCGCAAGCACCAGGTCATAGTCGCTCAGGGCCACACAGAAGATGATGGCCGTCACTCCCTCGAAGCAGTGGATCCACTTCTTCCGCTCGGACCGCTGGCCACCCACATCAAACATCCTGGAGAGGAGAGAGCGAGAGGTGAGGTCGTACTGCACTTCCAACGCACCAGGGACCTCGGCGACAGCAGTGAGAACCAGCTCCAGGTGGCTGGGAGCAGGGACAGGGAGAAGGGAGAAGAGGACCCTGCTTTCTCCACGGGGCGAAGTCTGCTGGTTTTATAATTTCTTTCACTAGGATAGGTATTTCTCTCTCTCTCTCTCTCTCTCTCTCTCTCTCTCTCTCTCTCTCTCTCTTTCTCTTTTAAGATAAAGCTTTTTGTTTTTGCTATGTTTATTTATTTCTGTATTTGGTACAGGGTCTCACTACGCTGGTCAGACTCATAGTGATCCTCCTGTCTCAGCCTCCCCAGTGCTAGGATTATAGGCTCACACCACCATACCCAGTTTCAGTGCTGGCTTGGCATGACGCTGGCCTGGCATGTGGTACCGGGGATTCAGTCCTGGATCCTGGGTCCTTGCGCTTGCCAAGCAGGCACTTAGACCACCAGGCTATCTTCCCAGCCCCATAGAACAGATATCTCTGAAACAAACAAAAAGCGGCTCCCCCATAAGGCACTCATCAGCACCTGAGAACGCTTAGAGCAAATACGAATGTGTGCACCACATGACTACTGTGATGTCCCGAGCAGAAAGCATCTGGACACCCCAAGATCACAGGGCGCAGGCCTGGGAAAGCCGTGGAACCCCACGGCTCCACCCTGCCACTGAAACAGGAGTTCTCTCAGAGGCAGCAAACAAGACTTAGGTAGAAAGCAGAAAACATGGCAGGGAAATCACGTAGGCTGCCCAGATTGAATGCACACAGGGCCAAAAGCTCTGTCCACCTGAAGGGGAAAAACCGTGGCAATGGGAAAAAGGGGGCTGAGGCAGGGAAAGGGGAGCTGCCCTTCTGCACAGCCTCAAAACTTCGAGCGGGACAACCCTCCACTTCAGTAACTAGTGCACCACGGATGTCAGTGAGGGTGGCAGTAACCCCACCCCCACAGCCAGGACAGTGGTGTCCTTCCTTTGTACTGGCAAGAGTTTATAAAGTTAAGGAAGAGTTTGATTCACAGACTACATTATGCAACCTAGAAATAAGCACTTATATAATGGAAACACTATAAGAACTGGTACATTTTAAAGGCTTCATTTATCTAGACAGTGCACTAATTAAAGTCCCTATTTAATTCCCAAGTAAAATGAGTTTTCCCTACAGACCGGTGCTGGCCTATAAACCAAATCTGAGGCCATCCACTTGGACTGTTCCTTCTGCTTCAGCTGGAAACTGTTATTAAGGATGCTACAGAACCAGATGATTCTCCCATATGGTGAATCGAGATGGGTAAGATACAAGAAAGGACAGGGTACAAAGTGGATGGGATGTGAAGCACGGCAAGAGAGCTCGAAGAAGAATAAAGCGAATGACCATGCTGGGTTTGTAGGCCTGCCTAGGAACACAGCTTGAAAACAGTTTGACCAACTGGAATTTATCTGAGGTAGCTTTTCTCACCAAATATCAATACTTACTGTGCACAGAACTGAAAATCAATCCCACCCGCCCCACCTTTTCTCGGGCAATGGTCACTTATGCTGCCAATGTGGCTAGAGGAGGGCACCTTCCTATCTCACCAACATGCTAGGTGCCACTGCGAAGGCATCTTGGAGGCGTGGTCATGCTCTAATCCCCCAGACTTGGGGAATGAGGACTGCCCTCAGCCATGTGGGCCACACCCGGCCCACCCAGTGAAAGGCTCTGGGGTGAAATGCCACAGATTCTTGGGGAAAACAAACCCTTCCTGGAAACTGCACGGCAACATGAGTGCAAGCTCAATGCACGTGGTATCCCTAACAACATCTACACGTGCCACTGTGGCCCTGGATCTGGGGAGCAAGTCAAGGCTTCAAGCAGCTTCTAGCGTCTCACAGGACAGACACCTAGATCTTGTTGAAAAGAGGCTGATAGGAACACAGAGACCACAGATGACGCTGTGCAGAGTTGGGCACTATGTCCTGATGTCCCAGCACTCTGGGAGGCCAAGGCAGGAGGACAGCAAGTGCAAGCCCAGCCTGGGCAGCTGAGCAAGACCCTGTCTCAAACTGAAGCATAAAAATTTTAAAAAGGGCTAGGGATAGAGATATGTGTGAAGGCCTGATTTAATCCCTAGTATGAATCACCTACAGAATGTGGGTACGTGACTGTTAAATATGCTTTTAATGAGGTCCTGAAAAGAAATGTCACTACTCAACACAGGAAAGGCAATTCCTGCTATGAAGCAGCGACAGCAGCCTGAACTCAGGCACATTTAGCTGGGGAGACCTCCAAGCCAAGTGTGGAAGGGAGCTGCTATGTTCTCGCTGCTTACAGTGAAATCAGGGTGGGAAGGCGCACTGAGAAAGGGACCAGTGAGTGAAGAGGGCCCCTTCACACACACACACACACACACACACACACACACGCACGCACGCACGCACACGCACACGCACACACACAGAAGGAAAGCACCTAACCTTAGAGTCATCCTGCTATCAGCCAGGAGCGCCATGAATGGCCAGTGCCCGCCAGGCTGTGAAGAGGGAAGTGCAGCCCCTGAAGTGCTTTGGGAGGTCACCACCCTACTGTCCAGTCGCCAGCACTGCCTATCTGGTCATGCACCCCCTTGGGGACAATTATCTTGGCAGCTACACGAACTGCACATTCTCTTGTGCATGGGCAGATGGGTACACATTTCCCGGTCAATTCCACTTTGCTCTAGAGTAGCTATCTTTCCCAAAATATTAAATACATATTTCATCTCCCCTTCCCTAACCCAGAGAATGTAAAGACCAACAGCTTGTCCCTTCTGATCCCTGAGCACCCAGCACCAGACACACACAGTGCATAATCGGTGAGTATTCACTGGCCGCAGCGTGTACTCTGTGTGCAGAAGAGGTTTGGGAACAACAGCTGAACTCTGCCATGGCCGGGATCCACACATGCAGTTACAGTGATGCCTCCGGTGCTCAGCTGCACTGCGTTGGGTGGGAACTGAATCAAAGTCAACGGTTAGGTTCAGTGATGACCTCAGGGGAAACTTGATTCAGTTCTCGACAAATTCAACCACGATTGTAACCAGAATCGTGGAAAGAATTAAAATCCCAGTCAGGATGCCACTGTAATGGATAATCAAGCACTCTGACTGCAGAAAAAGTCCTCAACTTACTCATTTTCTAAATTTAATTATGAATGAATGAGAATCTTTCATGTGTGATCAGAAACAAAGAACTTTTAGCCTAAATGCATGGTTTACAAATTTGAGGTGAATCAGAGTCAACAGATGGCTTGATTACACCTGTGTGGGGATGAGACCTGAGGATCATTATGCCCACAAGACAATGCCTGGCAGAAACGTAGACAGTGCAGATGATTCTGAGCGTATTGCACATAATTGCAACCCCAGAACTCTGGGAGGCTGAGGCAAGGAGTTGTGAGTTTAAGACCAGCTTGGGCTACAAAGCGAGCTCAAGGCCAGCCTGAACTGCATGGTGAGACCCTGTCTCAAAAAGACCAAAACCAAACCAACAAGAAGCAGAAATATTCACTATTGATCATCTATAATTAACAAGCCTTCATCTCTGCATATACTGTTCCCCAGCACGTTCTCCACATCAGGTAAGCCTTCTGACAGGTGCAGGTCAGAGAGTGGCCCTGGTGTCCCAGGTGCTCCAGGGGATGGGGGAAGGGAAGGGAGTATGTCTCAGGAGTGCTAGGTCATGCTGGGACTGCTGCCGCACACTACCGCCACCAAGGCTGACCACCAGCACATTCCCGCTGGGCCTACACAGACATGTAACTCCTAAGCAGAACACCGAACCCCAAAGAAAAGTGTGCACACACACTTGCACCCTAGAGAGGGGACAGAAATTGCTCTTACGGCCATTTCACAGCAGAAGAGACGTTTTATAGCTGGCAACGCTTCAGCAACATCGGTTCCCTAACTAAAGCAAATCACACAAATGCCGAGCACCAGTGCCCATTCACCAGGAGGCTAACACGAATGTTTACATGTTTTACAAAAGTGAAACTCACTTTATACAGTAATTAGAAATCAATAAATTCCTATAGGAAATGCACACAAATAGAGCAGAGGATGACGTGTGGCGTGGCCCAGCTGTCACTCTCTGCTCTGACATCCATAGAGAGGGCCTGGGCGGCCTTTTGCGGCAAACGATGGCCAATGGACGGCTGACTGACAGCATAGAATCTATCTGAACCTCTGGACAGGCCTGTGTTCATCCTCCACATCAGCACATCACAACAGTGAGGAAATACATCCTGTGCAGCCGCACCTTCCGCTGAAGCTTAACTGGGGAAAAATAAAGGGTGCCCCAGAAGGGCCACAGTGGGTCCCAGGGCTGACGTCCACACAGAAACCTTGGCAAATGCACGGTGCGCCACACCTCCAGCAGTGACCCTGATGTCTGGAAACAAACGTGGAAGGGGGCCTTGCAGCCCCGCTGGAGAGAACCTTCCAGCCAGACCGTTTCAAGCAGAATGGTTGGCTAAGCATCTACCTTGGCCATGGCTGCATCCCCAGCCAGACCGTTTCAAGCAGAATGGTTGGCTAAGCATCTACCTTGGCCATGGCTGCATCCCCAGCCAGACCGTTTCAAGCAGAATGGTTGGCTAAGCATCTACCTTGGCCATGGCTGCATCCCTAGGGCCAGGCACCCTTGCACTATTTTTTTTCCAAAAGGCAAGAACTCAGTTATCTTTAAGCACCTGACAATGGGAAAGTATGTACCAGTGTCTCTGTTAAAAATCATAAGGGGGGGGGCAGGGGATGTAGCTCAGTGGTAGAGAGCTGGCGTAGCACATGCAAGGCTCTGGGTTCAAGTCCCAGCACCATCAAAAAATAAAAAAATAAAATAAAGGAAGCTTTGGGGGCCAGGGAGATTGCTCAGTAGAATGAGCGCTTGCCTGGCAAGCACAAGGGCCTGAGTTTAATCCCCGGTTCCACCAAAAAAAAAAAAAAAAAAAAAAGTCTAAGGGAATTTTCCCCAGCTCCTGAACAGGTGGCAACGATTCATCCATACTAACCCCACTTGCATGTGCTTTCTTTTCAGACCATACTAGCTACAATAAACCCACTCCTGGACCTAATAATTTAAGTATTCTGTGGCCCATAGTCTTTTAAAAAGGTAATCAAAATCCCTTCAAAACAGAATCCAAGGTGAAGTAGGTTTTAAAATACATTTTAAATCTCATTGGAACAGTGAACTTCCTTATATCCAAAACCGCTCATAGTTTAAATATAACTATGACAACACTCCCCGGATCAACTATATCACATGGTCACTTACCTCCTAGAACTATGAATCTACTAAAAGAGGGCAAGCAATTCAATAAGCAAATACCAACAGCAAAACAGTGGTCCAGCTTGAGCTTAAAAATGGAGGAAAATAAAGTAACAGCATGTGCAGATCCACAAAAGCATTAAAGCAGAAAGCTAGAACTGCCAGACAGGCTGATGGGGAACTGTATCTTCATGTAAGAAACCAGGGCAGGGCTGGGGATGCGGCTCAGCAGCACAGCACCTGCCCAGCAAGCACCAGGTCCTGAGTTCCATTCCTGGCGCCAAACAAGAAAAAGAAAAAGAAACCAGGGCAATGCTTTTGTGTTTTGTGGAAAGACAGCGAGACAAACTGACCCTGAACTTTTTCTCTGGAAAACTCTAGTTATATGAATCACTGACAAGTTGCTGGCAAAGGCAGAAACACAAGCATTGGAATGAAAACACTTCCGAAACAGTAAGTGCAGTTACATATTTGTAAGACAGCCTTCAATCTGTAGTAGTGAGCTTTCTTTAGGAAGTGAATGGTCATCTCTTTTCTTGTCTCTGACTGGGAACTACCTAGGAGCCTTCTGAGATTCTACTGCAGCATTTTGCCCAGCACTGGAGTTACGTGAAGTAAAGTCTTGGACATTTCCATAAAGGTCTTATTTACCATGATGACTTTACATCAGAACAGTTCAAATTGAACCCAAATCATAATAAAATGCTCCTCTAACATAACCATCGTCTTATTTGTGGAAAATATTGCTGTCTGTCTTTAGGAAGAAGGGGGAAGAGTTTTACTGATGGAAAATGCATTCACTATGAAAATAAGGCGACTCTTTAAAATGACTCCTGCAAATGTTCCTTGCAGCAGGCTGATCGGAGCAGCACGAAGCGCGCACCGTGAGCTTCCTGAGGCGGAGCCGGGCAGTGAGGGGCTGCGGCCATGAGTGATGAAGGGGCCCTGGCGTCCCTTCTGTCTGTG